TATATGCATTAATAATAATAATAATAATAATAATAATAATGAAACTCTAACAATGTTTCTGCTTCAAAGGATGTGCTTTAGACAAACATCAAACGTGTATAATTCCCAAAAGACTTTCTGACTTTCCCACAAGCGTTTCTGGCCTGCAGAATCTGAGCCGTTGAGTGTGTTTTGCTAATAATGCAGCAGCGGCCACAGATTACATCAGAGCAGCGAGCGCTGGAATAAAGCATCCTGCAGCGTGATCTAACACTACGATCTTATAACACAACACTCTCTGTGGAAGAGAAACAGGAGACAGGAGTCTCGATCTCTGGGTTTGTGTTTGCAGACAAACCAAACAAAAGAGTTCAGTCAATGGAGAAATCTGTGTACAGCGAGAGAGAGGAAGAGCTCAGCAGGTGTCTGGAGTCACTTCCTGTGACATCACACCGACACAGTCCACTTCCTCTCAATCAATCAATCAATCAATCAGCTGAAGATAATGGAGTCCAGAAGCAGCGTTCAAACACAAACTAAAACTAAAACCATAAAGAAAGAACATTTACATTACATGAAATAAACTCAACTTTACATTTAATCAGCTATTAGCCAAGGCAACATTCCTTATGTACCTCAACATTACTTTCATTTACTTTAGCTTTACCTACTACAATAACTAAAATAAAAATTATAATAAATTATTATAAATTATAATAATAAAAACTATATACACATTTAAAAAAAATAAAAATAAAAAATGAGAAAAACAAGAAAATTGCTAAAACTTTAAAGTGAAAACGAAAAAAAACAAATCAATAATAATTACTAAACTAAACTACTAAACTAAAACTAATTGTGATGACAACAAAACTACTAAAACAAACAGAAATCAAAATGAAAACAGAAAATTATGAAATTAAATACAAATTTAAAATACTTATTAAAACTATAATTAGCATAAAACGTTATTTAAATAAAATAAAATTTAATTGAAAAAAAAAGCAAAAAAAATGTTTGCCATTTTGTCAGATGGACACAAGATTATGCCCTGTCTGTGTGACACTGATATTCAAAGATACAGATTCAAAGATTCTAGCCTTTGAATAGTGCCTTAAGAATTATGATCCTATGGATTCCTTTTTGATCCTGAACATGTTTTAGGCCTAGTCCACATGTACACGGGTAGTTTTTCCTACATTTAAAAAAAATAAAAATAAAAAATGAGAAAAACAAGAAAATTGCTAAAACTTTAAAGTGAAAACGAAAAAAAACAAATCAATAATAATTACTAAACTAAACTACTAAACTAAAACTAATTGTGATGACAACAAAACTACTAAAACAAACAGAAATCAAAATGAAAACAGAAAATTATGAAATTAAATACAAATTTAAAATACTTATTAAAACTATAATTAGCATAAAACGTTATTTAAATAAAATAAAATTTAATTGAAAAAAAAAGCAAAAACTGAAACATTTAAAGTTAAAAAGTAATTCTAGATATTACTAAAAGCTATATATCAGTGATATTAAAATATCTGTGTGCAGCAACTGAAGCACTCTCACGTGAACTCAAGCGAGGCCTTGCATTAATGATCGAGGAAAACACTGGTTTTAAAGTCCAGTTTGAGGTCGGTTCAGTCCATTTCCCATCATCCTCCTCCTCCTCATCATCATCCTCATCATCATCATCATCCTCCTCATCATCCTCCTCCTCCTCCTCCTCCTCCTCATCATCATCATCCTCATCCTCCTCATCATTCATCATCATCATTCATCATCATCATCATCATCCTAATCCTCATCATCATTCATCATCATCCTCATCATCATCATCCTCACCATCATCCTCATCATTCATCATCATCCTCATCATCATTCATCATCATCATCATCATCCTCATCCTAATCATCCT